ACTGGAGAGTCATGAGAAGGGACTAGAAAGGAACCGCCCCCTATGAGCGGTGTCTTCTTCCCATGAACCATCTTGCCCACAAACAGCTAGTTCCTCTCGGGAACGCTTCAAAGCAAGGCGTGCATGCTGCTGACCAAGGTTGCATCCCGCCGATTCTAGCCCTCAACGTCTGGGTGGTATTCCGGCCGCTGAGACATGCGTTGAGGGAGGTGAGAGGTGACGAGTTTGTGCCACCGGCGAAAGCAATACCGACGCGATGAAGTGAATGCCAGGTTGAGCTTGGCTCCGATTAGCCCTGGGCGCTTGGAGCAAGGTAGGTAGCACGCAGGTGATCTATGGCCAATGATCAAGGACGGGGGGCATGCCACAAACTGGTCATTCAGATGCGGGAGGGAGAGGAGAAATGAGATGTGAGGTGGATTTTGCCTTCAAGTCAAGTTGGAACCCGACGCAGGATGCCATGTGCGAATCCAGGCACTTGCAGCGAGGCTGTTGTTAGACTGTTAGACACAGCAACCGGAACAAAGTTTCAGTGAGTGCTCGAAACGTAAGAGTCGTAAGCCCGCCAAATATCCGGGCTTCGTTTTCAGTTGCATATTCTCCTTGCTCGTGCTTTTCCGCAACTGTTCCTTGCCCTGAAAATCATCAACTCGCTCTACGTCCAAGGACCATGCCAACATGGCTAACCCTGTCTGTTTCTCCCATCCTGCCCTGCAGCCAGCTACGAGCCCCCTGGCGTGAAGCAGGGTAGGGCATCCGGTTTGCAGTTGAGATGCTCTGCTGCAAGTTGTCAGCCACGGCCCAGCCGCCCCAGTGTTCCCCCCCTACCACTCTCTGCATGCACGCACATCTTTCCTGGAGGGGGAAGGGTATGGGGAGGGGTCCAACGGGCTCGAATTTTTTTATTCTTTTTTTCTTCCAGTTTTTTTTTTTGTTTTCCCCTACTCGAAATCTCCATGATTATCAAACGGGTCTGGCCGGCATGATCCACGTTTCCATGGCCCATCCATGGCCGGCGCCGTCGGCCGCTTCCCGCACCTCCATGCTCCTCTTTCTCTTGCCAGTGACTCCTTGCGGACAAGTGCTCCGATGAGGAGCCAAACGTGATTTGATGGAGTCAGGTCCTGCCGGCAGAGCGACAAGAAAGGCACAAGACGTGGAGGTTCCATCCAGATTCAATCCCCAGTCCAAAATCCAAGTCCAAATTCCCAGTCTCTGCGAGAAGGAACAAAAAAATCCAATTTCCTCATCAGTTTCTCCCTCCCCCGGTTCAAGTCAAATTAGCCTTTCCCGTCCGGTCTTGGGCATTGCGTAGGCCTGGTCCCCTTTGTCCTGCCATCATCCTTTGTCGATGCCGAAGAAGCCAACGGGTTCTCCTTGTCATTGCTTTCTGGTAGCTCTTTTCCTGCTGAACATCGATTTGTCAAAGGCTTGAATACAAGGGGCTACGCCGACCCTCGATTAGAGTCACAGTCGACAATTTCCGTACGCAAAACATCTTCTCCGCGGTCCTACAAACTGTGGTATCTAACTTGTATCTTTATCGTTTGAAGTCATCTTGGAGAGTGTTTTTTTTACAGGCAGCACGTGTGACCATACCCCACCAAGCCCGAGACTCGCCCTCCATTTGAGAACCTAGCAGTGCAGTGACCGCCCTCGTGTAGCAGGGCACTGCTCCGTGTGCGGTGAAATTGAGAAACAAGTCCAACACACAAGAAAAGGGGAATCCACCACAGAAACACAACTCAGACGAAACCATCAAAAGAGAGAGCCATAACCAACTAGCACGGAAATAGAGATTACGCCGGCTTCACCTCATATTTACCGGAGGACATCCTCATGGGTGAAGACGTTGATGCCGCGACCGGAGGCCCGGTTGTCGGCGATAGCGGCGGCCGCAGGGCCGACAGCACTGGTGTAACGAGGGACCGGGGAGACCACAAGAACAGGAGGAGACACTCTCGGGCAGCCGATGCCGAAGCGGCAGACTATGACGAGGACGACGAGGACGACAGCTCGGATGCCGGCTCGGATTTCAGCTCCGTCTCCATCGACGAGCTACCGCCCATCCGCGCATACGGTCACACGTACCACGGTTCTGGCCGCATACTTATGCCCAACGATGAATCGGAGCGCGCACGCCTGGAGATTCAACACCAGCTGTTCAAGCTATGTCTCGAGGACAGTCTGACTGCATCAAAACTCCCCAAGGACAAGCCCCTCAACATTCTCGACATCGGCACGGGAACGGGTAACTGGGCTGTCGAGATGGGCGAACAGTACCCCCTGGCCAGGGTCATGGGCGTCGACCTCTCCGCGGCGCTGCTGCCCATGACCGTCCCGCCCAACGTCGTCTTCGAAGTCGAAGACGCCACCAATGACTGGGCGCGGGAGAAGGACAGCCTCGATTTCGTGCACGTGCGGAACCTTGTCGGCGGCGGCGTGCAGGATTGGAAGGCGCTGTTCCAGCAGGCCTACGAGCACCTAAAGCCCGGCGGGCAGATTGAGTTCTCCGAGGTAAGGACGAGGTACTTTGACCTTGTCGACAGCAGCAGCGACGAGCCCGCCGCGCCGACGGAGGAGGAAAAGAACCACGGCGCGATGACGGCGTGTCGCGAGTTCGAGGTGCGGCTCGCGGAGATGACGGCTATTGCAGGAGTGGACTTTGATCCCATACCCAAGATCCCCGCCATCCTGTCTGATGTTGGTTTCGAGAAGGTGGGACGCTGGTCCGACTTGGTACCCATACAGGCCGTGGGCCATGACGAGAAGATGGTCAGGAAAGGGGCACAGTTTGCTCAAATGCTGGAATACGGTAGGTTTCTCTTCGTCCGTCTGCCATGTGAGCTTCGTCTCCTAACTCTAGACAGGCTTGGAAAACTACTCGCTGGCCGTGTTTGCCAAGGGCGGATGGGATGAAAAGGATACCCGGAATCTTCTGCAGAGAGTCCACAAAGAGTCACGCGACACGACAAACGAGGCATACGGCAAAGTGTGAGTTTCCTACAAGAGCGGCATGCCGTTTGAACCTTGCGACTAACGGAATCTAGTTCTTTTGTAACGGCCAGGAAACCGATGCAATGAGGTGATGCTAAACAATCCGCTCTCTAAATAGACATTCTCACCAACAAGAACATACAATAAAAGTAATGAAGCCTCGTCATTTCGACTTTTGTGGAAAATACTACAACGAGTCGCCCCCATGAAACCTCACTTGCTCCCACGATTCTCTTCCCATCTTGCTGCCAAGCTCAACAACCTAACCGGCTGGGATACCACCGACCCCGCAGTCGGTTGGTTATTCGCCGGCGCTGGTCAGGTCGGCCTTCGACGACCCGAATGCAACCCGGGCTTTCCTCGGTGCCAGCCGATAGTTTCTCATGCCCATCCAACGTATGCCACCCTCCGGCACTTATTTTCCCATAATCGGCCGAGCCTCCTTTCTCCGCGGTCCCTTGACCTGCGCGCTATGCTTAACGAAGAACAAAGGGGGTCGATTAAGCTCAAAAGACAATGTACCGGGCATCCTAATCCGCTGCAGAACTCCCCCGAAATGCCTTGACCCCTGAAATGTTTCACTCCACTGACTGCCGCAGTTACGTTACTTCACCGGACCAGTACTTGCCGCCAACGCCGCATGTTTGTCGTACTAGTACGAGTGCGGGTTCGCCCTTGGTTCGCCCGATGGATAAGCCAACGCTGTGTCTCTTCTTGATTGGATCTTGGTTTTCTTTTTGTGTCCATCACCTCACTTCAGGGTAGCATTCGCCGTGTGACGCCGAAAGACGGTAGGCATTAAAGCCTATCTTTTCCCTCCCCAATCATGTCACCTTGCCGATTATGCGGGGACGCTCCGCAAAGTCTCACCGATACAGACGATCGAAAGGGAGAGCATTGCCTTTTTTTTCTCGATATGCTAAATTCTAAGTATACCACGTCATCAGACGAATGTCAAACCATCAAGCTTTTTCCGTCCCACAAGATACTCGGCCGGAGTTTGGCAGTGTCGGGCCAGTGATCGAACCGTGGCCTACCTCTTTTTCCGTCCACGGTCGGAATCCCATGCCAACATGTGAGCCCGATTGAGGCCTAAACGTGGTCGCTCGAACAGGGCTTGCATTGGGTTTCCATCCCATACGTCGTACTGGGCCCCTTGTCTCCGATACCTCCAGACGGCAGGAAGACTTACGCGTCGGTTTGGTAGCAAACCATTGAGTTCCGTGTGACGCGAGGCCATGGCACGTATGGACATCTCCGACATAGTTGCCAAGCTTTCACGAGAAGACCCTTTCGACCGCATGTTCCAGAACGTGCCGCTGAAAACAATACCCTACAACAACCTGTTGGTTCCTGCCACGGACGTTATACAGCCGACATTGTAGTCGTCATCAATCTCGTATCATTCAATCTCGTCCTACCGCACGCCGTTGAGCTGGGGAGCAGCACCCTCCTCCGCCAAAACGTAATCACGCACCGCGCCCTTCCAATCGCTGATTCTGATATCCTTGATCTTGACCACGATAACACGCACCTCCTCGCCGGCTACGAAGCACCCTCTGCCGCCGTCCTCGGCCTGTACGCTGGGGTTGAAGCTCTGCCCCTCGTCAAACGTGTTGTTCTCGAGATGCGCCTCACGGTAAAACTTTTCTTCGTCCGATCCGTTGTTCACTAGGCTGGCGGTGCCGTTGATCGTGGCGCTAATGCTGGAGACGGCAGCGGTGTTCAGGTTCAATAGAAGCGAGGCGAGGCTAGAGCGGTGCTCGGGGCCGGGGCTGCCGCCGGAGGGACGTCGGCCGGAAGTTGGTGGGCGATGGGAAGACCCTACATCGAGCTGTTAGAAACCTGGAGCGTCCCATGGGAGTTTGGGAATCTCATACAGTCATGAACCAGCAGAGAGACATTGGGATTTGAGAGGAGGTTCTGCGTCTTTCTGGAGGCGGGGTTGGTGGTCATGACGATGACTGGGCTGGACGAGAAGTTGGACGAGGGTAGGTAGGTATAGTTCATGAGGGAGACGTTTGGGACGTTGTCGGTACATGTTGCGAGATGAAGCTGACAGGCGCAGGAGCGGTCTAGTCAGCACGGGGAGCTCTTCACGACATGCAGCCAGAAGCTGGACGCGGGGCAGAGGGGAGACTTTGGAGCTTACGAATCGGGCATTCTCTAAGCATTGAACGACTTCCTGGGGCAGGGTCGTGGTGACCTGTTTGTTGGTGTCGCCGGCCGAAGCCTCATAGTTGAGGGGAACTTGCTGTTCCATGTCTAATCAGTGGTGCTTGGCGGGTTGGTGATGTTTGTCAGATATCGTGAGCTTCTCCAAATGGGCTCTGCTGGATCGGCCGGGCTGGAAAGTAAAGATGGGCAGACGAGGCCCGCGCTGACTAATGCGGGGCAGAACCGGTCGGCGTTCCATCTTCTTGCGGGATGACGTCTTTCACGTAGAGGCTCGCCGTTTTCATTCTTATCTTATCGGTCATGGTTCCTGTCGCTGAAGCACAGGGCGCCTGAGCGGGAGCTGGCGGGCACCCCCCCCCCACTGATCCCTTGGTGGACACCGCCTAAACCTGGGCTGGAATCCGGGGTCGCCTTTCAGCGGCTTTCTAGTAGTCACGGCTATTGTCGGCACCGCAACTCCCAAGACGAGAGAGCGCGACAAGCCGAAGCAGAGCTCCTAGAGACCTCGGTTTAACGAGCAGTTGCAGCTCTGCACAATTCTCCTCAATCATCAACTCTATAACCGTTCGCTTGCCTGCGTGTAAAGTCTCAATTGATACCACGAGTTGACGATCCAACCATCCGCTTTGCCTTATCCACCATGCGTTCAATGAAGGCGAAGCATCGGCTCGTCCGACCCCTCCCTCGTCTCCTTTCCTCTGCTGCCGGCCAATCTGTGCCGGCCTCGAGCCAAATCACCCCGATCACCTCTCTGTTAATCGCCAACCGCGGTGAGATTGCGCTGCGAATTCACAAGACCGCCGACAGGCTGGGAATCAGGACGACGACTTTGTACACGGATCCCGATAGCTCCAGCCAGCACGCCGCGTGTTCCCCGCATTCCCTGGCTCTGGGCGACGCGAGAGCCTACCTCGACGGCGAGCGCATCATCTCGCTGGCCAAGAAACACGGTATTCAGGCCCTTCATCCCGGGTATGGCTTCCTCTCCGAGAACTCAAAGTTCGCCGAGAGGTGTGAGAAGGAGGGTATCGTCTTTGTCGGGCCTCCGGCGCAAGCTATGGCCGACATGGGTGACAAGGCACGAAGCAAGGAAATCATGACCGCTGCCGGCGTGCCTTGCGTACCGGGATACCACGGCTCAGAACAAGGGGAGGAACAGCTTCTGCAGCACGCCAAGGACATCCGGTTTCCCGTGCTTCTGAAAAGTGTCAAGGGAGGTGGTGGAAAGGGCATGCGCATCGTCATGACGGAGAATGAGTTTGCCGCCCAGCTCCGCAGTGCCCGCGCCGAAGCCCGCGCCTCGTTTGGAGAGGGTGGTGAGGTGATGTTGGTTGAGAAGTACATCGTCCGCCCACGACACGTCGAGGTGCAGGTCTTCGCCGACAAGCTGGGCAACTGTGTGGCTCTCGGAGAGCGTGACTGCAGCGTACAGAGGCGACACCAGAAGATTCTTGAAGAGTCGCCGGCGCCGGACCTGGACGACGAGACGCGTCTCGATCTCTGGCAGAAGGCAAGGAAGGCTGCCTTGGCCGTCAACTACGTTGGGGCTGGCACCGTCGAGTTCATACTCGACAAGGACACTGGCGAGTTCTACTTTATGGAGATGAACACCCGTCTGCAGGTCGAGCACCCCGTCAGTGAAATGGTTACGGGTACCGACCTTGTCGAGTGGCAGTTCCGCGTCGCTGCTGGGGAGAAGCTGCCACTGACCCAGGAAGAGATCGTGGAGAACATCAAGCAACACGGTGCAGCCATTGAGGCCCGCATATATGCTGAAAGCCCTGAGAAAGGTTTCATGCCCGACTCAGGCAAGCTGATCCATCTTACCACACCACACACCAACGAGGACATCCGCATCGACGCTGGCTTTGTCCAGGGCGACACCGTCTCGGAGGCTTACGACGGTATGATTGCCAAGTTGATCGTCCGCGGTAAAGACAGGGAGACTGCCATTCGCAGGATGGAGTTGGCTCTTAGGGACTACGAGGTCGTCGGCCTCAGCACAAACATTGAGTTTTTAAAGAGGCTGTGCCGGTCTCCTGCCTTCATTGAGGGAGACGTCGAGACGGGCTTTATCGAGAAGTGGAAGGACGAGCTTTTTAAGCCGCGGCCCATACACAGCGAAGTATTTGTGCAGGCAGCGCTCGGTTCGTTGTCTCAACTGGTTCATGCCGCTCCCCACGGGGGTAGTCTGGGTTTTGGTGAGGCTAGCACATTGAGCGAGCGGAAGTTCCTCTTCAAGGTCCTTGATTCCTACAGCGAAAAAGAGGGTGAGGTTGTAGAGGTGAGCATCACGCAAAAGTCCCACCAGCTCTTCGATGCCCGCGTTTCAAGGAAAGGAGAGGAGGCACCCCAGGTCTTTGAAAACCTTGTCAGCAAATCCCTTTCTAACTCCACATCAACAAACGCATTGACAACATTCTTCCCCGACGAGCGGGTCGAATCTACCGTCGTGCAGAACACGCAGAACGAGCAAGACACAAAGATTGTAGTGTTCCAGCACGGCATCAAGACAGAGCTCTCGCTCCTGCCACCAAGTTGGTTCGAAAAGGCCCTTGGCTTGAAGGAGGTCACCGCGTCGGTGGTAGCGCCTATGCCGTGTAAGATTCTGAAAAATGAGGTGGAAGAGGGACAAACAGTAGCCAAGGGCGCCCCGCTGGTTGTGTGAGTACATCCTCAACTTTGTGACTTTCGGTACATCGTATTTTTTCAGGAGCTGACCGGAAACGCAGCATTGAGTCCATGAAGATGGAGACGGTCATTCGGTCACCCCAAAATGGCGTTATCAAGAAGCTGGCACATAAGGAAGGGGTAAGTCATCAGATCTGTTTGAATCTGGTACCCGTCACTGACAAGCTCTTAGGACATATGCAAGGCCGGAACTGTTTTGGTGCTTTTTGAAGAGGAGGCCAGCGAGGAGTCATGAATGGAGCACTGATTGCATGCTGGTCAAAAGACACGGGCACTTGTGTTTGTTCAGCGACTATTTTAGAATCCGAAGTCAACAAACGCTTTGTTGTGGGGTTTCCTAAGAGTTTAATAATCCCTTGCAAATGCTCAATGCCACTCGTTTCATGTTAGTTGATGTTCTCTTTAAGACATCTTCAAAGACAGATCAACAACCGTAGCAATGCTAACTACAATACCGAATGTATCTGCCATAAAGGAGATTTCCGGGATTGAGTTATGATTAGAGGGTCAGTCAACTATTTTGAGACCGTCGTTATTACTTTACCTTTCAGATTTCAGTCAGTCTAAATGTACAAAACGCCATTGCTCGTCGTTGATAAGGGCCCTTTTGTAACACTGACGCCAGTTACACGCCAAGATTGTTACGACATATTAGCAATATAATCTGTAATTAAATACAAGGGTGGACAATGAGAAATGACTGCTCAGGTGAGCCACGGTCTTTAAATCACCTTCTAAGACTTGGGAAGATGATATTTCAAACCATAATAACGCTACTGACTCCATCTGTTTTAGTTTCACTTCGTCAATCACCGACCTGTCCGCCTTGAGATGGTAAAGGAGCTTAACATATTCGTGTATAAAGGATTGAGTGATTCACTTAGACTTTGCGCTAGCTACTTATATATGAGCCTTCTTAAGAAGAAAGCAGTCTAAAGTTTTCGACATATCCTCAAGCGGCTTTCATCGCTCCACGTTCTGCCTCATATCTTTTTGGCCAGTGAGGCTAAGGCAAACCTTACGCCTTTCGGCAAGCGGGCTCGAAACCGCCGGGCATTTTGTATTCCTTGCTACCACTTCGGCGTAGCTCGATCCATTCTGCTGCTTCGCCATCCCCATCTCTGTCGACGCAGCAGTGTCTCTTCGGGCATCGAGCATTTTTATGCAAGTCTCTGTTGGCAGTGACATATTCTCAGTCTTTACACGCCCGCCCACTTGAGCCTGCAAGTCCAGCCATTCTTTGTCGTTCCTCTGGACCCTAGACACGAGAATACGACGTCCGTTGTGTTGAAACTCGCATGCAAAATTTGCTGAACGGCAGATACGCTTCATTCGCCTCCGCCGCGCTTGACAGAGCCCCTCCCTCTCCTGCGGCAATTCTGCCACTGGCGTGAACGCCTGCGCCTCGAATTGTGCGCCAGCTGTGTCTGTTACAACAAAGACATGAAGGTCATCATCGTCGACTTTGTGGCTTTGTATCTGGTACTCTCCGCCGATGAAGTTCTCCGAGCGAGCTTTGAATGCCGTTTTGTTTTGCCATAATCCCATTGTTTATTGAAACTGATGTGTTTTGGCCGTATCTTTGACAAATAAGTTAGCAAATCTGATTCAAATTTCAACTTATCTCTTCGGGTTCGTGTAGGCTGGCAAAGTTTGGCTCTGTTGCTTGAGATGATGCACAACAAACCTTTCGACAGTTTAAATACTTTTTGGTCATGTATTTGTGTAAACGAGTGCTTGGAAAAGCCAATGCTCTCTGAGATGAAAGAGGTTCTGATTATAAAGGTATAGTAATAAAGCAGCAAAGCTTCGGTGAGTTTTTATGACTCTTGAGTTGCCTTCACTTTTCAAGAAGAGCCCCTTATATGAGTATTGTACCAAAAGAATGCTGCAGCCATCCATCGCCGAGTACGATGCGGCCTTAAGACGTGATTGGAAGTAGACAATACATTTGCATCGTGAAAGTTGGGATGATGGTTGACCAGGGAGTGTCTTACTATCATCGGTTACGTGATTTTCTATTAGTGGACAAGCTGTCGGAGCATCCTTGTCGCCGCTTCGTTCCTCAAGAAGAGTACATGTAGACACATGTCGGGACACCAGGATCTAAGATCTGCTAATCCCAATAGAACACCGAGCCACGCCTCAAATCCGCATTGCATAACGTTCGAACAGGTCAGAAAGAATTTCTTGAACAGAATGGAACGGGAGATGCGTCATGCGAAGTCCAAGACAAACCTCAAATTGAGGTGTCAGCCAATGATAGACCCTTGTGCTCACCGAAATTAGGCAGCAATGCACCTCAATTTTGCGCTCGGCGGATATGGATCCGGAGAAAGAAGCTGGAACATTCCGTTTTTGCGACAGGCAATAGCAGGCAACTGGTCGCCTGGTATGAGACGACACCCTCATGTATGAGCGCGGCCAGCTTCTAAACTTCGCTTCCAGACTTATCATCGTCAATGACTCTTGAATTGTTGACATTATACATGTTTTCAATCTAAATCAGCTCCAGACTGCAAATATGGAAGATCAAGACCACTTTTTGACTCTCAAGTCTATATAATCTCTACAAACCTCATCGGCTCCTGGCAGGGCGAACACGGTATGAACTTAGTGAATGGTGCTACTTGTGGGGTTTACTTGCGCATCTTGAATGCAACCCCCTTGGGATTCTTCGTCACGCAAGGCGCCTTAATAGGCGGCCTCCGCGCTCGCCTTTGAGAGCGTCTTCTGTTGTGATGTTGTCCAAAACTGAAATTGGAGTCACCTAACACAAAGAATATGACCGTGGTGGTAATGAATGACTGGGATAAGTATTATCTGCCCCTTAATTATGATCTGAGTTGATGAGATGAAGGCAATCTGCAAGAACTCTGCAGGCGCCTCCAGATCATTCAGGAGCATGATGCGGTAAAGACTGGTTCAAATCCGTTCCCCTCCCCTCCCCTTCATCCCCCTTGGGAGTTTGAGATCAACTACCATACAAGTTGTGATATCGTGTTTGTGCTTATTCGGAAATCAGCCCACAGCAACTTGGGTCTTTGGGTCCCGCCCAGGGTACTGTATGTGATGGTGATCTTTGAGATGAGTCGAGTGTTCACTATACTCGCTTGACGACTCTCCGCAGACGCAAGTGAAGGACGTTCTTGCTGTATAAGTTCTTCTGCGAGTCTTAAATCCTTTTTCCTTGCAGGTTCCCAGGTGCCGCTCGTGATTATCCTTGTGCGATTGCTGGTAACCGCACTTGCACACTTACTGCGGCACGCTAGGTTGATCCCCACGGTGTTTTCGGCATTTCAAGTGACGATATATTCAGGCTGGTCCCACTCGTTCTCACAGCAAACGATCTTGTTGGCTTCAGAAGTGCCCACGCCACCCAACAATGACAACTCAGGGGGCTGAGCATAGAATTTGCAACATGGTATGGCGTGGCAGTGATGGGAGATGCGTAGGTAGTTGATTGTGGTTCTTGGAAGTCTGGATACTGAGTGTCGAAGGGACTCAATGGTGCCTGGGTCGAGTCCTGGTCATACCCCTCGACTAGGGTGGTACCATAGGAAAAGGTTTTCGACTCAGTGAAGGACGCAGTGGAGTAAGCAACAGAAGGCAGCCCGGATTGGATGGGTGTTACAACGTTGGAAGACGTGTAAGTTGGGCTGGCAGCCGAAGTTCTAGTGGCTGCAGTGGTTTGGCGAGATTGGTGACCGTAAAAAGTGCAACCCAAGGGATTCCAGGAGGGCGGGTGCGGTTCCCATTGTGGCTGGTTTTGAGGCTGGCATGGCTCGAGTGCGATGTCAGTCTCGATAGCATCGCCCTCTGCAGAAAAACTGCCGTTCGCCTGGTTGGGTTGTTGGGTGAGATTGCCGTTGGTAAGTTGATCGCCGAATTGTGCCCCAACTTTAAACCACAAGTTATGCCTAAAATTGTCGGGGCCTTGAATGAAAGAGAGGCCGCCAGGGTCAACAGCAGCCGGTTCAGAACGAAAGCGCAACTGGTGGCCCATGTCCGGCGCGGAGCTCACCCAGAAAGTGGGCGGGCATAGCATTCGTTATTCCACAGATCAGCCTTGCCCGCCTTGGTCTGATTGCCACCTTTATCTACCTCTTCGTCTTCTTTTGTGGTCCTGGAGAGCGTCCCTGCGAATTCGTCTACTGTTCTAAAGTCTTCCCACCCTTTTTCTTTCCCAATCAACTGAGCCAAGATTGCTTGATATCGCCTATCCAAGAACGACTGAAGAAACATGAGGCTCTCAGCTTGGCATGGACGTGTACCGTATCTGACATGTCCATCTTCTCAAATCCTGTCATCGAGCTGGTGGTAAATGGAGTTCAGAAGGAGATGGACATAAATTCACTGAACTACTAGAAGTAGGGTTCTCGCAGAAATGTACTAAATGAGTGACTTCAACTTCTCACAGCCACGATGAAAACACCACCACCACCAGCAGAAGAACTCGAAGCGGCAAGGTTCAAGGCCCAGCGGGCGGTGGTGGGGGACACACCACCGGGCTGGTGTTTGGACTGGACTAGACTCGGGGCTGTGTATCCAAGTCTGTCTCTCTTCGCGCCTCTCTCTCCCGTCTGTCTCTGGCCGTCGTTGAAGAAGCCCGGCAGTCTCTGACGGCGTTGTACCTTGGAAGCTGCAAGGATACCCTGGCCGTTGACGATGCGCCGTTTTTCAAGTATATAGCATACCCCCGTTGGCGCATATGGTATCTCCAGTGACCCAGCGGGATCGCTCTTCGCACAAAAATACAACAATGTCGGCAACGTCCTGTTCTCTGCCGCATCTAGGTTCAGCAGGGACCTTCTTGTTTTTCTCCTCCATTCTAGCGAGATGTACTGGCCCGGCTGCGCGGTACATGTCAGTGTCGACCGGTCCAGGGTTGACCGAGTTTACCGTTACTCCGTACTTGTGACCGAGCTCCGTCGCCCATACTCTTGTGAGGCCTTCAACCGCAGCTTTTGAAGCGGCATAGACGGATTGCGTCGAGTAGCCCCCTCGAGCAGAAATGGATGACAAGTTGACTATGCGCCCACCGCGGCTAATATGTGGCAGAACAGCTTGTGTCATAAAGATAACGGCTCTGACGTTGACTGTCATCAACCGGTCATATTCTTCGATCGTAATTTCTTCCAGGGGTGCGTTTCCTCCAAGACCCGCATTGTTCACTAGTATGTCGATTCGCTCGGTCCGAAACTCCTTGAGGGTGGCATGCAACAAAACAGAAGGGGCTTCGGGCGATGCCATGTCGACCCGGACACAGGCCGCGCGGGTTCCAAGAGCCCGGACTTCCTTCACCAAATTTATAGCGGCTTCCTTGGAGGAAGGGGAGACATAGTTGAAAGATACCTGCCCGTTCTTAGCAAAAAGTTTTCGACTGTTTTCGGGCAAAATCCCAGCAAAGGGACACTGGTTCCCTTGAAAGACCCATAAACAAAACAATGGAATGAGGAGGTATTGAAATAGAATTAACATACGCTTGCTCCTTGTCTGGCTAGTGCCAGTACAATACCTGCTCCAATACCACGAGCTGCGCCTGTTACAATTGCTATCTTTCCTTGAAGAGACATAATGATTTGCTCTAACACTTGAGGTTTGGGGGGTTCTGTTTCGTCAGATTGATCTTGATTAGCTAGTTACACAGTGGCATGATTCAACTGTACTTAAGAGGATGAGAAGTGCTTGTCTAACCTTCTTAGGGGTCTTCTAAATACTGCCTCAAGACGATGTCCTGAAGGGTAAAATGCCCTTGAATCACAATTTGAATAGCTGAGAATTTCAAATTCCGAAGAATATTTCGAGCGCGCGACGTTAATACCAGTGGAGAAACCTCTGTGCCCTTGTGCAACGGAGAGACTGCCGAAAAGCAACGTGCCGAGTGTGGGGTAACGGCAGTTTCACCGAGACCTGCACATCGCTGGATTGCTGAAGCGTCCGAGCCACTTGCTTGCGGCTGCAGCTTCCTAGAAGGTCAATAGAGGGGTAGGAGGGGTAATGAGATCCTTCTGTGCCACAATAGCATCTTATAGTCACCGGGAGGCTGCATTGACCCCTCAGTGTCAGCGTTCACATCGGGTACTGAGCAAGATCAGTAGCTGTGATGAGTTCCTGTGGTCGATTCTACCTTAGGCGGCTATTTACTATTCACATCACTTCTCCTCTGTCTTCCATTCAACCGCCTTCTCGAGTCATTTCCAAGCATCTCATTCGGTTGTGTTGACAAAGCAGTGCGCCATGTCGAATTCAACGGCAGCCGAGGTCCTCACTCGAAAACCTGAGAACATCGCCGTGTATACCAACCCCCAGCATGAGCTGTACGTCAAACAAATCGGCACGCCAATCCCAAAGGAAGGAGAGTGCCTCGTCCACGTGCGGGCAACAGGAATCTGTGGCTCTGATGTTCATTTCTGGAAGGCCGGTCACATTGGCGAGATGGTTGTAACGGGTGAGAATGGCCTTGGTCACGAGAGCGCAGGGGTGGTGGTCGCAGTCGGTGACAAGGTCAACAAGTTCAAGGTTGGCGATAGAGTGGTACTGGAGTGCGGCGTTCCATGTATGAAAGCGACATGCTTCTTTTGTCGAACGGGCAAGTACAACGCATGCCCGGATGTTGTTTTCTACTCGACGCCCCCTTATCATGGGACTTTGACACGCTATCACGTTCATCCAGAAGACTGGCTGCACAGAATTCCCGATACGATCTCGTATGAGGAAGGGTCTCTTCTTGAGCCGCTCTCTGTGGCTTTGACCGGGATCGAGCGGTCTGGTGTACGTTTAGGAGATCCGGTTGTCATATGTGGCTCTGGGCCGATCGGCATTGTCACCTTGCTGGCTGCCAGCGCCGCGGGTGCGAATCCAATCGTCATCACGGACATCAACAAAACCAGGCTGCAGGTTGCGAAGAAGGTTATTCCTAGAGTCCGGACTGTGCTCGTTACCCCGGGAAAAGAACCACAAGCAATCGCCCAAGAAGTTAAGAGCGCTCTAGGCCAAGAAGCCAAGTTAGTGCTTGAGTGTACTGGTGTTGAGTCGAGCGTTATCACTGGCATCTACGTAAGTCTTCTCCGCCAAAACCTTACGATCAGCTGAGTCTGACTACAACGTTAAGTCTTGTCAATTCGGCGGTATGGTCTTCGTTATTGGATGCGGTAAGGACTTTGCAACGATTCCATTTATGTACATGGCCGGAAAGGAGATTGATTTGCGATTCCAATTCCGCTACCGCGATATCTATCCTCGAGCCATCGGCCTTGTCGCAGAAGGTATCATTGACCTCAAGCCTCTGGTGACGCACAGATTCACGCTTGAAGAGGGAGAGAAGGCCTTCCTTGTAGCTTCAGATCCAAGTGCTCTGGCCTTGAAGGTGCAAGTCATTGATGACTGAGGGAGAGACACAACGCACATTTTACGGTAGTCAAATTCTTCAACATGAAGACTAATTTGCTTCCGGAATGAAATAGAATAACTATCTAAAGAACTGGCACTTTCTTGAATAGTATAGGTGGCAGTACCATGAGGTTGTTCGTCCCTAACAGAACTATGGCTTGTACTCTCAGACAATGCTAAAATCTGTTCCTGGGCTTAGGTTCATATCAATGTCTGATATGACGTACCAACTCATATTAACAAGGCAGATATCCCAAGCTTTGACATAGCGTGTCTACATATAGAACTGCTTTTGACAACAGCACTATCTTGGCCATTCCAGCTCTCCCTAAGAATGCGATGAACTGTGTCACAGTTTGTGAATCCAGCTCCAGAAGTCTCAAGAACTTCTTCGATGAGATTCTCAAAAAAAGGTTGTTGCTCTTGACTCGCCATTGCTCCGGCCACGCAAATAGGCCACGGCATGCCCCTTAGATTGATACCTACTGGCACTCTCTGTAGGGCGTCTATAACGTCGGCAACAGCTTCATGAAGCGTTTCAGGGGGGTCGCCTGCAATTACCAACATAGTGCGCAGCTGGACTAGGATGGCTGTAGCGAAAGCACGAGTAACCGATTGGGAAACGATTGCCGATGCGGACTGTTCAGATGCCTTCAGCCTTGATGTGTCATTAGAGTGTAAACCAATGGGGTGACTTACCTTATCTTGAACACCCAAGTACCCAATACCATCTTCTAGTCGTTTCTTTATGTCCGCTGCTCGGCGCTTTAGAGCTCTAGGGCTCAACTCTGCAACTTGCGCTTCCAGCGAAGCGACGTCGCCAAGCGCCAACATAGCCCAGTTCTGGCAGCCCATAATACAAGAAATGTCGATCTCGTCATGGCTAAGCCATCTCTGATATGGAAGCTTTGGTGGCCCACCTGTCGAAATACATGAAAGGAGATCAAACCAAAGAAGCTGGGATACGTGAAACCTAGTGGAAGCATTCACTATCCTTTGGAATCCGGCGTTGGGTCTTGTAGATGCCGAAGGATCAGACATCCCATCAATACTCTCCAGATCAATCTGACCGGCAACTAATAAAAGAGGGTTTAGGTGGGATTCCCAATTGGACGTGCCTCCTTGGAATACCTATGCAATCAGTCAGCGGGATCTGAACGCTAGGGTATAATGAGGTCCAATATTGCGGATACTTCAAAGCTGATGAGGAAGGTTCCGCATGTGAGAAACTCGACACGAGACTCTGGATGACTAGCGAATCCGTCCATTTCACAACGGCCGAGAACCTGGCGAAGTTCTTGCATGGCATTTGTGTGATGCCGGATAAGCTCGGACTCCATCTCCTCTGTCTTATTTCGCGATATCGTGTGCTGGTGGAGGGCGGATAGCGTGAAAGCGGCATGGCGCAATGGTCCCTTCTTAGACAAAAGCCAAAACAGCCAGCCCCTACCTCCTTGCTCTGGTTTGTCCATATAATAGACATATTGAAGGGGGAAAATGTAGTCGAGGTAATATGTGATAAGCTCTGCTTCGCGAAACTCAGAACTTCCATGTGAGAACACCGTAGAGTCATTGGATCCTTCGGTTGATGGCTCTGTGACCGTTCTCGAGGAACGATTAGATGAAGCTTGCAATTTTCGAGTTCGGCGGAAGTTTTGTTTTACAGCATGCTTGATCCGTTGTAACTCAGCCTGGAGCTTAGCCGGGTTCTTCATCCAGTCTGGCTCTGGACCATACCCATAGCATTCTATGTGCCGATCTGTACATTCTATGCATGACGGGGAGGTCTCATCGCACTTTCTGTGGCGGATGCGGCATGTCCAGCACCCTCCGCTGCTGCGACCTAAAGGTTTTGGCATCGTAGGCGACCCTCTAGTCCTTCGATTAATCTTGGTCTTTGATACAACCGGTTCAGTAGACAAACTCTGATGATATAGTGCCTTATTCCACTGGGTCAATTAACTTGAGCAGTCGTGTCGGTTTTGCCATTCGAAGAATTCTGTACAAGTTGCTTTGTCGACGTTCCAGGGGGAATATTCGTTCAACTCGTTTAATCTTTCCCAGCCCCCCGCGCGCCCAGCCCCTGCCTCGAGACTGTGCTCCACTTTTGATCTGAACAAGCCTGGGAGGGAAAGTCGAGCCGTTTGTAGGGAAGGAAAGTCGAGACGAGATATTAGCACTCGGTTCAACATGCAACTATAACCTTAAAGAATGTAGGTTGTCCGAAGGATGCTTTAAACACCTTGATTTTCTCGACCAACTTGTCGGGTTCAATCAGCTTCTGGAATCTGATCCTCGTTTGTGACAAGAAACCTGACAGTATTAGTACATACCACTGATTGCGAGATATCTAGATTGCCATTTAATTGGAGTTTAGCATGAACGTATGCACTTGAGTTTAGATTCCATCCCCAAATCGCATCATGTTCTCTGCGTCTTACTTTCTCTCGAATCCTTAACACGTCACTATCATTCGAGATACAATCTTATGGTCCGCTCTCATGACAAAGAAACAAGACAACACTCGCACAATTCTATCGTTACATTATTTCAGGGGAGAGTGAACCCGAAAGCAACAAGCTTTACCTGGAGCCAACATGACAGAGAAAGAAAAAGAAAAAGAATCTAACTCTGGAGACAAGACTTTGTATTCCACGTATTTATCTTTGCTAAGGTTAATGGGCGAATAATTACATAAAGCTTGAGTATGTTGCCTTGAATATGGAAATCCAAGGCACATTAGTTATTGAGGGGAAGGTATCTTGAGTGGGTGGAAGACAAGCATGGATTTGTTATGGCACTCGCTTGAGTTTGGAAGGGGAACTCCCCTCCAGCAAGTTGGTTTGCATCCTCCTGGGATGAGCCGTTTCTAAATAGTTCGATGCCAAAAAGCCATTAAAGCGTAAGCCAAGAATAGATGCAACACAATGGCCCTCTTGTTGTGTCTCCAAGTTTCTTATTCAATTCAGATACTTAACTGCCAACTCTGAAGGAGAAGAACTTTATAGCGAACGTACGATTTCTTTGCATTCTCTTCTAGTTCAAAATAATTTCACTAAGCACTCGACGAAAGACAGACAAATTAACCCATTAGTCCATAGCCCAGTACACCCTTCACAGCTCGCACACCCAGGCTGTTCCGGACTCCAATTCCCGCCTCACGCGCTCGAGACATTACACATTAGCTATTAATCTGTGTTACTGTCTAGGCCTGCTGCTTGTTGTTGTCACGACGATCGCGGAAGTGGTCTCTGGCCTTATCACGGGCGGCGCCGCGCTCCCTGTTGGCACAGAAGACGTAGTTGCCAAGGTTCCTGTCGCAAAGTACGTTCTCACGGTCTGTCGCATATTTAGTCATCAATTCTCACAGGAAAGAGAGTTTCCGGCTTACCATAGGTGATAATCAGATCCTCGCTGGCGGCGCAGAAAGCAATGTCATCGCCCTTGCAGTTGGGGTTGTGGTTGTCACGGCCACGGTCGTTATCGTTATCATCGTCACCGTCACAGCGGTCTCTGTCACCGCGACCATCGCGACGACGGTAGCACTCGCAACGACGCTCTCTCGTGGCGTAGTACTGGTTCAAGCCGCATCTCTGGATTCGTTCCCACTCCCTGAGAAGCTCATAGGCTAGCTCTTGCTGCTCGCGAATGGCGCAGAAAAGCCTGTTCGCACCGTCGTTGTAGCAGAGCCTGTTGTTGACGTCTGGTGCCATCATCAGTAGCGCTCAAGCCTGAAAGAAGCGAATAAAGACGTACCGTATTTAGTAAACTCCTTGACGCTCCGGCCGCAGTAGAGGTCATCTCGGCTATCGCGGCATTCGCCTCGACGGAAGACTTCAACATCTTTCTTGGGAGGGGCATCAGCTGGTACGGCAGCGACACAAGAGATGCCCGTGATGGCGGCGATAAGAATCTTTGCGTAAAGCATTTTGGCGGTTGAGAAAGTCGCGAGTGCGGGTATCAAAGACCGAAGATGGGTATTAATGGAAGGGTATCCTGAGCTTGAATGGGTTGCTTGCTTGTCTGTCTGATGAGAAGAAGAAAGATGCGAATATCATGGGCAGAAGGGGCATTCTTTATAGTCGACTAGCTGACGGGTTTCAATGTAGCTGCTTGGTGCATGTACATCCGTCAACGACTCCAATATGCGCCACTCATCTGCATTGCGCCGAGCCCAGTCAGTTGATACCATGATCAAACGTGATCGGTACCTCGAAGGCAAGGACAGTCGTTCTTACCAACACTTCCGCCGCTTTCCTTCTTCCAACTGCAAACCATACAGGGTTCATCGAGCCGCCATCATCGGCTTGGTAACTACACCTCTCCGATTTGCCCTTACTTTTTCAGATGAAGTAGGTTGGTAAGGAGGCATGAACCTCGTAACTGTCACCTATGAAATGCGCATATTCCTGACTGAGATTCGGGCCAGCTTTCCATGCAGAAACCAGAGTGTGAGCGAGACCGGAGCATTGCAGTAGTACGGCCGTTGCCCGAAGGCGTTCATGGACAGGCAAGGATTCCTAGCCGTTATACCAAAGCTTCAAACCCCATACTGTTGCCGTTCATGGTGGTGTTCTCGGCAACTCTAATCTAGCCCACATATTTGGTGACCGTTTGCATGGACTGTTGTGGAATGGTTGCAACCTTTACAATCGATTGGCCTTCAAGCTTCCGCTCCAGGCTGGGAAAGGCAGCTTGGTTTCCTCTCTGGAAGTCATCGAGCTGGAACGAGGTCCTTGGCAGACTGGCAGCTTTTCCGAAAAGAGACGGCATATAATGCAAGAGAGTTGAACAAAAGCTTAAGTTCCTTCCTTTAGTTATTCGCAGTTGCAGGAACAGCTTTATGCCATGCTAACTTTTTCAGAACGTATGGAACACCGGGTTTGCAACAACTAAGCCTGCAAAAAAATACTGCAAAGAGCATTTGGTTGTTCGGGTATTTGAGCCTTAGTGCATGGAGCATGGTCGCCTCAAGTGTCGACAATATGCCCGTGGCGCTCCTCGCCCAAACAGATCAATAATATGGAGGTGATGCGAAGATGGCCCTTGCTTCTGGAAGCTCCCGCAGCCATACCAAGTTGCAATCCGCTTTTCACGGGGACAGATTCAAGCAAACACCGTGATCGAGGTCCAATAGGAAGCACTTGGTTGTATCTCCGTCCGTAAGATCAGACTTCATTGGAGGTGGCGGGCACACATCCGAGGGGACCGCAAACTTTACATGCCGAACCTTCACACTCCTCTGAAAAATTATCGTGAATAGACTCTGCGAAACGTTTGCCACTGACGACACCGTCCAAGCCTTCTCAAGTACCTTGCCTGAGATCGCCGTACTGGCAGATAGATGACAAATGTGACATATGGCAACGGAATAGATCGGACACGCTTAAAAGATATCGACAACACGTACGTGGTGGTTGAAAGAACGTTGAAGATTTGGTTTAGTGCCATGAGCGGCCCAAGCGGCGAGCTATTAAGACTGGTATCAACGCTGGATACTTACCAGCCTCCCAAGTGGCTCCGCGTACAATGTGGACGCAATACATTGTAATACCGTAATGCAATTCCAGCACGACTAGGCCAATATGCCGAACATTTGGAACTGCTCATCAGATGCAGTTCGATCCTCTAGACCCAAGGTCTTGGCTGCGTCTCTTTCCTGCGGATACGTCGCACAGTCACTCGGCAGCCTCATGCTGGGCCTTGCGTTGTGGTTTGGCCCCTCGATTTCAGCACAAGCCACGCAAGAAGGATGGCGGGCATGGCAATGCTACCCAAAAAGGCGAGTACAAGCTGAGCAAACTTTGGTTCGCCTGGTCAGCATTGAAAATCGCTGACCAAGGGTTCCAAGATTTCGCATCAACAGCCCCCTTTTTTATTGGTCTGTAGGCTGTTGCGCCGATATTCTGCCTCCTGGCATGAACTACTCAGCTGGCCAGAGATCGCAGTCCCTAACTCCTAGCAATAGACTCTGTTGCGTCTTAGGCTTCATCCACGTGGGTCGCCTGAACCTTTGAACGACGGGTCGAACAACATACAGGCCCGTGTGATGCAGCAACCCAGTCTAACTGTTAGGGTCGGGAGGCGCTCTCAACGTTAAGCCAATAACATGCCGGCATTGCATCGCAAACGCCAATGCCATTGACATGTTTCGAAACGAATGTACAAATGGCCACGTTGACGTTCGGTTGCTATGCGAAAAGTGCCATACCAGGCGCTCGTCGTGTGGGGTCACCTTACGAACCGGTTCACGCACAGGTATCTTGAGCAAACCATAATCGCGCGGAGAACCCGGCGATAACCATTGGAGCGTGCTCTCGCCATCTGGGGAAAGCCTATGTAGCGGAGCCCCGATAGACACATAGGGCGGCAGGTGATCAAGTAGGTCATTTATTGAAACTCGTAAAAGCCCTATCAGGATCGGAATACACTTCAGGATATCTTGGCAATGGTAATGCAGAGAGGAAGCACATTCGTCAAGAACGAGTCTCCTCTTCCTTTCATGTCGTTCGCCCAGGGCGAAAATAGAAAATCGCTCAGATGTTCATGCATGTTGATGGAAAGGACAGGAACGGGGGCCCCAAACATGTTGGCGGAAAGAATGATTAGACGGTCATGAAGAAAACGCATGCGGTATTATCGGAAACCGCCCTGGGAGCCTCCATTATTCCAGTAGCCTTGGTTCGCACCTCCGTAGCCTCCATTACCATAACCTTGCTGGTTGCCGAAGCTATGATCGCTGTAGCCGTGAGAGGGCGGGCTCATGGGCGGAGGGCTGTGTTGATCGTGAGGCGACCCGATCCTGGAGTAACCACCCTGAGAGGCGCTACGGCTCGGAGCCACGGGAAGCGGGCCCGAAGGGGGCATGCCAGGACTTTGTGTCTGTAACGGAGACAATGGTTGTCCGCGACCGTTGGGCGAGTCGCTGTATGCGGCCATGCCAGCTGCGGCGCCGGCACCGGCACCGGCCGCGCCCGCAGCCATTGGAGCGGAATCCCAAACGGTCTTCTCTTGGGTTGCGGGGACGCTGTAGGTATTCTCCTGAACCATCCCGCTCTTGCTGAATTCTGCGGCGTTGTACTCGGTGCCCGTCGATCCAGCAAAGGAGTCGGGATCAACACCGCGCTTGTGGAACCCTTCGAGCTCTAGGCGCTCATTCTCGGCCCTTTGAGCGGCAAGGGCCGCCTCGGCAGCACCGCGCCTGCGCTGGCGGATGAAGTACCAAAGACCGAAGGCAATAAGAGCACAGCCGACGCCGACGCCTCCGGCATACACAGCGGTCTTTGCGGTCGGGTTAAGTTCGTTAAACTTTTCGCTAACGGACTTGCTAGGTTCCGCCAGGAGCGCTTCTTTGACGGTTGAATTACCCCTTGCAATGAGGTTAGTATGGCACGGTACAGCATGTACAGCTTGAGCACGACTTACTCGGCAATCTTGATGCTCTCCCACGAGCCCGTCTTATCCCCGAAAGAGTACTCCTTTCCTGAGCTGTAGTCTGTCACTTGCGCAGACTTGACGTACATAGTGTAGGGACCGGCAGCATAGTCAGTTTCACCTCCAGCCCATTCCTGGGTTCCCTTGGCCATCCGGGGGTCACCACCAGCCCAAATACCAAGACTCAAGCGCATAGGCGTCTGGGGGTAAGCCAAGGAGTTGTTGGCGTCCTTTGGGAAAAGAGTCCGCACGTTGTTTCCATCGATCCACCACTCGAGCTTCTCCTTTGTCCAGACGCAGGTGTAATTGTGGAAGTCATCGTTAATGCTTCCTGTCACCGGATGCTCACCGCCATTATGCCAGTCCTCGACGCCCTTGCCAAAGTAGTTACTTAGAGCATTGTTGTTGATGCCAAGGAACTCCCAATCGACCTCATCCAACGTATCGCTTAGCCACATCATGGAGCTCACGATTCCCTTGCCCTTGGCGGCTCTCAGATGAACCTCGGTGCGGCCCCAGAAGAAGTAGAACTTTGTTCGAATAGTGGGGGAGTCGCCCTGCTTGCTGATCGTGAATTCGGCACCATTATCAGTGGTGTACGTGACCGGTCCGACGGTCGTCTCCCAGGCATCGCTCGATGGCGTGGAGTTGAAGTTGAAGCTGTAGTCCATACCGAAAGCAGGGTCGGCAGGACAGGTCGTGTTCATCGGGTTGCATTTGGTTGAAACTTGCGCGAGCGTAGGCGGAGCAAGCGACACCAGCAGTGCCGCTGCTGAAAGAGCGTAACGCGACAGCATGGCTGTCAAAAACAAGTGGTAGTCGCACGAAGGCTGAAAAAGTGAAGGTCAGAGGACCAAAGGTGCGCTCAAATTTGAGATGAGGCCTTTCAATCGGGACTAATGATGTCCAAAAGATGGGTTAAGCAATACGTCTAGTATCACAAGGATGGTTGACGGAACACGGCGCGCCCGGCAACGTGTAAGAAATGAAATGAGTGACGCGAGTGAGAAACCGAGAGAATGTGAGTGCCCGTGGTTGGCGGCGAAGGAGCGTAACACGCGACAATGTTGCAGACGTACCACCGTGATGTTGGAACGGAAAGATGAAGGAGTGGTTTATGAAAGAACGTTTGAATTGGAGAGGAACGGCGTTGGCGGGGGTCCAAAAATTGAGTTGGAAAGGAGCGTGGATATGGGCGCTGGCACTCGGATGGGTACTCTGGGGCCGACATGGAAGAAGCACAGACGCCAGAGTTAGCAGTTCGGGAGGCAATGAAGAGCAATGATAGGAGGCGGCCTCATCTCCATCGGTATGAAGTGGAGAGGCAGGGACAAGACAGGCCAGGGGATGCCGGCATGGCGGCAAGCAACATGGTGATTTAAGGGGGCGCCAATGTCTCTTGCTCCTCTTTGGGTTCTCGAGTTGCATCTGCAACGGGCAGCGTTTCCGCACCAGAGCCGACCAGGACTAGCGTCTTTACTATCGGTCGAACCAGAGAGGTGCAGCAGTTTAGGGCCCATTTCGTTGTGGCACCGGCGTGCAAGGTTATCGGACAGGAAATTATTGAATAATTGTTAAGCGACCGACTGGGAAGGTCTGAAGATGATCCCGAGATTGTTGGTGGATCGCCGTTCCCAGGCCGGCACTCTCAGCCCGGGGGCAAAGCCCTTGCGAATTGAAGAGATGCGTCATGAGCCATTGTTTTAAGAACTAAATAATCCAAGCATAACTCACGAGCTCGTGGTGCCAGTCGACCATTGATACGTGATATTTGGTCAGGACAAAAGTGAGTGTGTGCGACAGGGCTATTAGTATAGCTCAAACGTTCGCAACTGTGGGAATGGAATAGGTTTCGGAATAGGGGTCGTGGATCACACCGCCATTGAGTTGATCCTGTGGTACTCCTTACTTAATCAACCCGAACTGTATGAAACTACACTTGCCAAGCAACAACAGACCCAAGTGAGTCGTGAGGATGGTTTCTTCCAAAAGAGAAGACCATGAGGCAGCGACAGCTGGTTTCACATTGGGGCTGAAGCGCATTCTCTCAATGAACAAGGTAGCATAGTCAAAAGGGCGAGATATGACTCGAGCACTTCGACCCCAGAAAAATGTTCGAACCAGAAGACTCCGTGGCTCGATAATACCAGGCTGTTAGATTCCTTCATGGTCGTGCTATGAAAGCTGTCGACGTATGCACGAGCCAGCATCCAGGGAATGTATATTTGGCAGTGTCAGTTACAACAGATGCGCAATCCAAAAACCGTCGTGACTGGTTAAAGATGAAGACCTCGTTAATGATGTCGATACGCCGGGAAGGATATCCTAGTGCGTACGAACTAGCAAAATCGAAGAGATCGACAACCCACAGCGCAATTCGGGACTACAATGACACAGGCGCGTACCAAAAATCATGTTTGCTTGAACACGGTGTTGTCCAGAGGAGATGAAAGAGGTACCACGAGCGCGATGCCGATGGCGATTGAGTTCTGCGTGCTCAAAATTCCACCTCATGAGGAGCACGCACATTATGGGTCGCAGCCAGAGGGTGTTTCTCGTTCTGTGGAAAATGATCTTCGCGAGCAGCCATGACGTTGGTAGTCGGATAAGCGGTCTGGTGGCGAGGTTCAGAATGAAGTGCAGAAAGAATAAAGTAAAGTTGATGATTAAGGTGAGTAAGGTGGAAAACATGGCGGACAAGGTGAGATGAATAAGGCTGCAATGACAAAGGTGAATCTTCGGGTGTTCGGCCCAGTAGTGGGCCCATACCCCCGGGTCATGGCCGGCCGTGGTCCACATTCTTAAATTATTGAGTAGCCGCTAAAACGCAGGATTTTTCGGCCATGGCCGTGTTTGTCACCGTACTGACGGCTTGGCTAGACCGATGTCGGTCCAAGCACAAGCCATAATGAAGCATTTGCTAGCTTGACGCCTATCATTCCAGCTGCTCAGGCTAGCCAGGGCCCTTCGAATGTCGTCCGAAGGAAGCCGCTATACCAGCATGCCTCAATGACGATTCTAGAGGCTAACTTAGACATGACATCCAACCTCTCCAATGCCAACACCAATCTCGGCAATCTATCCGGGCCAAAGCCCACATTGTCCCCGAACTCACCATAGTGAAGCGTGACTCACGGTAGCCCAATCCGTTTCCGATTACGCGGCAGTGGGTTCCACGAGACAGGCGCTTACCCAAGAGGTAATAGTAGTGCAAAAAACGTCCTGTCGAATGGCAAAGCGACATGCCTAGATGCGATAACGCAATGCCAACCCCAGACAAGACCATGGAATGAGACAAGGGATTTTTTCAGCCGCAAATCATTCATATAACGGTCTGGGCCCGTCCCGGCCCCTCTGCCCGTCTTCCCTCTAGACTACCTCATCATCAAACGGTTCGCAACCACCATTGCCGCTGCCAACATGAGCGCACAGCACGGTCTTCGAGTTGGAGACTCGTCCGACACCGACCTCGGGAATGAGCAGCAAGCGCACGATGCTCAACCAAAGCGGACTGTCGTCGATTGGCTCCGTGACGATGTCAACATTCGATACACGGATATCCCCGTCCTCGCCTGCTGTCTAGTGTCCGGGTTGTGCGACAGTGTAGCAGTCAACGCTGCCGGCGTCTTCGTCAGTATGCAAACAGGTCAGTTCACCACCTCACGAGAGAATGCGGTGGCGTGATGCTGATCCAATAAAAGGCAACACCATCTTCATGGCACTAGGCGCTTCCCGGCTCCCAGCCGGCGAGCCACTCCTCTGGCTCAAGTCTCTCAGCTCCATCGCCGCATTCTGGCTTGGATGCTTCTTCTTTTCCAAGTCAAGGCATATCCACCCCAAGCGCAGAAGCACATTGGCGCTCTCGTTCCTCCTTCAGGCATCTCTTATCTTCCTGGCCGCCGCTTTCGCCCAGACCCGTCTCATCGCCGACTTCGGAGCCACATCCGTCCAAGGATCCGACACGAAACACGAATTCAAGACCTCCGAGGACCCCCTCGTCATGGTCCCACTTGCCCTCCTCGCTTTCCAATTCGGCGGGCAGATCGTCACCAGCAGGATCTTGGGCTACAACGAGGTTCCAACCAATGTGCTCACCAGTGTCTACTGCGATCTTCTGTCAGACCCTAAGCTCTTCGCCCCCTTGAGGGAAAACCCGAAGCGGAACAGGAGGTTCTTAGCTGTGGTTCTCCTTGTACTGGGAGGTATCGTTGGTGGATGGTTGCAAAGAAGCCAGGCTGGCATGCCGGGGGCCCTTTGGATATCTGGTGCTGTCAAGTTCATCATTGCAGTTGCCTGGATGGGCTGGGCCAGTAACGAGCCGGTGGAAAGCAAACTTGAAAAGGGAGCCGTAAATACGTAGCGGAGAGTGGGTCAATCATTGACATAGTAGATATTTAGAAGTATACCAAAGCCCGATTGCAAGCTGAGCTTTTGTCTCATGGCTCATGTTCAGTCCCAAGTCAACACCAATCTAATGCCAACGATCTTATTCGTCAAGTCCACATACTGCTCCAAAATATCTTCAAGAACCACCGTCCTCAATCCGTGGGGCCTGTTACAGCCTAGAGACCATTACGCTCCGAGAACGGCCTGCAGAGATCCCCAGATAACAGGACCGTTAGCCAAGTCTCTCGGTCTTAGGACCGTTAACAAGGAGGCGCTTTTATTCCTGCTGTAAAGCGAGCTGAGGCGTAAGGTGGCTGTCTTTGGCTTGAGGCTTCTTCTGATAGACGAAACCAATGAGGAGATACGCTAGAAGGAAGAAGCATGTTCAGAGAGGTCAGAAGATGCCATGCGTAAGCCTGCTGTTTTTGTAAGTCATTGCTAAAACGTGTAAAGCTATCAAGTTCATAAATAACATATCTTACCTTGGGATCTAACCTTTAAGCGTATCTCCGTATCAAAAAAAAAAAAATTTCTTAAATGATTAAAAGACTTAAATCAAAGGTGCCTAGTTGTTTAATGTCTTAGGATGTTTAACAGTAGAAGGAAGGGCGTCTCCTTTTCAACGGCCCGAGACCGTGAAACTCGGCTAATGTACCTGTTATCTGAGCATCTCTGCAGGCAGTTCTCGGAGCACAGTAGTCCTGGGCTATGTAATGGCCCACGGATTGGGGACGGTGCTTCTTGAAGATACGTGGAGCAGTTGGTGGACTGAACGAACAGGGGTGGATCAGTTGTGTTGGATTGGTGTTGGCTCAGGATTGAGCATGAGCCATGAGATAAGAGCCTAGCTTGCTGTTGGGCTTTCTTACACGTCTGGTCGCGTCGAGCTTTTCCGCGAGGCCTCTCGAGGACTTTCAGGGGCTGTAGTAGAGAGTGAAAATATCATATGTGTTGCGATGCCCTCACGCGCATCGCGCAGCCTTGTGAGATTTGCGCTGGGCCCGGATTAACTATTAGTCCAGTCCCTTTATGCAGATCCACCACGCAGGATATATATTTATTTATTTTAGACAAAGTAATCCTATATATAGAAATTTAAGCTATTTTCCTTATATCTTTTTTACCCTAAGTAGTAACTCTATAATAGTTATAAGCTTAGCTTATATTATACTTTTAAACTACTATGTTTAAAGTATATTATAAGCTAAAAAACCTCTTTTAAATAAACTATTTTTATTCTTTTAATTAATATCTCTAATATATTTATTTCTCTTAAAGCTATAAAAAAGCTAAAGTTATAAAGTAATTAGCTTATATAGTATATAACCCTTTAACTTAAAGTAAAATTAAAATATATTTAAGAATTTATTAACTTAAATAGCTTTAAGTAAATAAAAAAAAGTAAACCTAAATATTTTAATAAGATCTTAAATACTTTAAGGATTTTTATTTTTAATAAATTTATTATTAATATAAATATTAAATAAACTAATAATAAACCTTTTTTAATAATAACTAATTTAAATATTAAAATTACTTATTAAATATATATCTTAAATATTAATATAAAAGAGGTTATTTAGAAATAAAGAAAAAAGGTATTTAATATAATTAATATATAAGTAAATATTAGAATAATAGCACTAGCTAGTTGTACGACACGCACGACTCAGGGATATACATTATGGTAAAGGGTATAGACTAGATATTCAGCTCTTAGTTATCTATTAAGGGGATTAAAAGTATATTTATACTAAACTAACTTAGAGATATATAAGATTATATATTTTATATATAAAAGCTAAGTCTTATAGTTAGAAAAATAATTATAAAAAATATATCTTTAGTTTATTTTAACTTTAATTTAAGTATAATTATATAAATAGGTTTTTTTAAGAAAAAAGAATTTATTTAATATTAATTAGTAGTTATTTAGTAATTTGTATGATTGTTTTGTGTAATTATAGATTAGTAAGAATAAAGAGATAAGACTTAGGCTTTATAGCTAGGCTACTAGGTAATCTTATACTTTATATAAAGTAAGAAATCCTTAAAGATACCTAAGGGGTTATACTAGAAAGTCTCTTATGCTAAGAAGCCTTAATTCTACTTATTATTGCTTATTAAGCTAAACTAAATAAATAAGATAAAGATAACTTTTATTTTATTATTATATAAAATAAATTCTTATTATTATTTATTAAGCTAAATTAAATAAGAATCTTTATTATATTATATATAGAGTATAAAGTGTATATTATAGTATTAAATAAACTAATTTTAACGTTATATAATATAAAATAACTACTAAATATAATATAGCTTTTTAAGAGGATCTAGAAGATAATTATTAAAGCTAATATAATAATATTAATAGATATTTATTAATATATAAAGAAATAAGTATAAAAAGTAAAGTCTTATTATATATATAAAAAAAGACTATAAATCCTAGACGCTAAGGAAATCTAGTTAATATTATATAAGTATTATTTAAAGAAGAGATAACTATATATATTATATATATTAACATAGAAATACTTTATCTTAGGCAATTAAAGAAAAACCTAATAATATTACTATATAAAGATTTTAATAAATAGTCTATTTTTTAATAAAAAAAAGTCTATTATGCGTTTAAAGCAAAGTTTATATAACTTATTAAGCTAAAAGGATTCTAATTACTACTAATAAGAAATATAAATTAATAGCTAATTAAATTCATTAAGGAGATTAAAAGGAAGTTTAATAAGTAAGAAAAGTAGCTTTCTACTTATATAATACTTATACTAAATTATACAATTATAATAACTTAAATACCTATTTAAAACCCTGAATTAACTTTACCTTAAAACATAATTAAACTAATAATAGAGCTAATTAAACCCTTATATAATACATAAATAACTTAAATATTAATTATATAAAAGCAATTATAATTAGCTTTAAGAAATATACCTCCTAAAATAAGATTTATATAAGAGGTTAAGAGTTTTCTATAAATCTAAGGTTATATAACACTTTTATATCAAAAAAATAACATTTATAACCTACTACTAAAATAAATAGTCTAGAATAGATTATATAAGCTAACTATAATTTTAATCTTTTAAAAGGGATAGAGAAAAGACAAGAATTATACAAGTAAGCTATATAATATCTTATATAATAAGGCTAAGGTCTTTATTAGTTTTTGTTAATACCTTAAGAAATAATAAAGGATAAAGAAAAGACAAGAATTATATAGGTAAGCTGTATAATATCTTGTATAACAAGGTAAAGGTCTTTATTAGTTTTTATTAATACTTTAGGATTACTAAAGACTAATATTATATAGTATTTCTTAATATTTTAGCTAATTATATAGAAGAGTTTTATTCTTATTATATTAGACTAATAAGGAGATAAGATAAGATGTATAATATATTAAAAATATACTTTAATATTAATATTAATTATATTCTCTATTAGATAGATTAAATAAGTTTATTTTTTATATAAGTTAAATAAGATAATTTAAATAAGAATTTAATAGATATATTAGAGATACTTTTAGATAAGATACCTCTTGTATAATAGGTACTTAGCCTAGGTTTTTAAGGGGAGATTATGCTTTATATATAAGTTACTTAAGCGTATAGAAGTATACTAGAGCTAGAAACTGCTCTAAGTAATCTTAAAGTATATTATATATATAAGTAATTCTTTTTTAGCCTAAGAGTATTACTACAAGTCGCTTTAGATAAGAAGTCTATGTTACACAATATTAACTTTGTAGATAAAAGATACTCTAATAACAAGAGTTATCTATAACTATTATATAATAGACCATTAAACAACAGAGGATCTTTTTAATAACCTTGGAAAAGTTAACTTTTATTATAACCTAGGTTTAATTATGTAATATCTAAGAAAAGATGTTTTGTATATAAGAAGAAGGGTTATTAGTCTATAAATTATTTAGATAAAGAACATAATTGTGTAAAAGATTAATACCTTTAGGTATATAGTATACTTAAATAAGAACTATAGAGAGATTTTACTTTATATCTTCTTGACTTTAAAAGAGAAAACCTAGTAGATAAATTATGTAATAAAGAGGGAGAATTTATAGGAGATAAAGAGATATTAGCTTTCTTAATGTCTTTTTTATTTTTCTATTATATAATAAGGAAAGATATCTTTTTATTATTAAAGATGTTAAAGGTTTATTAATTTTTGTTATATAATCCTTATATCTTATTATACTAAGAGGAACTATAAAATATAGGAGTAGTAAAGTTCTTTACTGTAAGGAAACCTTAAGTCCTTATATACTTATAAAAGAACTTTTATATAGTAATATCCTAGGAACCAGGATTAATAAATGTATAATTTAAAGTAAATAACTTAATTATATTAGTTAGTACTATAGAAATAGAGAATTAGCTTAGAAAGGTTATATATTATATCCTTAATACTTTTACTTTATTCCTGTTTTTATTATATAATATAGATAAGTTAAGTATATATTTTAATAATATTAATAATGTAATTATATAGTAAAATAAAAAACTTATCTTAGTTATATAGAAATAAGGTTACTTATTCTTTAACTTTAGTTATATAGAGGCTAGTATATTCTTTATAGAAGAATAACTTTAAAGGCTTTATAGATAATTTAAATATCTTTATATAAACCATCTTTATTACCTTTTAAAGAAGGCTAGGTATTATAATATTAATATTAATATTTTAGAAAAGGTCTAGAAGTTTTGTTATTATTATTAATTATATAACTTAATACTAAAAAGGTTTAAGTTTATACTTAAAGACAAAAGCTATTTTAATTATAAGATAGTTATAGATATTGTATAACTAAGAGATAAGAACGCCTTATATATTATTAATATAGAGATAAACTTCTAAGGAGCTACCTTCCTAAAGTCCTTATCTATATAAGATATATAGAATACATTTTATAAGTACTAGATT